CCTGCGTGCCCCGCCCGGCTCCCCGGCGGCGGCGGAAGCCCTCGAATAGATGCTATGGCCCTTTCTATAATTTTTGCCCCGTCTTGTGACCGTAAGTCATTAATTTTGTTTCCCGATGAGCTAGGAATTGAAATAAACGATTTTCTTTTCTATCAAGATAAATTTCCAGGGCAAAATACGCACTCTAGATCCATTGTGGTTGGATCGAAGGTTTCCACTTTTTGCAAAAGTTTCAGTGAAGTACTTCACCCATCTTTTGTTTCGTTTCATCCTTGTCGGCTACACTGAGGTGGGTACGTTGCAATTAGGGCAGCATTCAGCACCAAGAAAAGCGTTTTCCAGTGTTGTGTCTCTAACTGCCAGTAATGTAATTTTTGGAATATTCGAAAATTGAAATTAATGATCATGAGAATTAAAATTAAATTCGCGTGAGAATATGAGGAGCTGCTTTTAGGCGATCGATAGCATGTTTGTAGTGCGATGCTGTTTGCTCGGCCCTGTTAACTTCTGTTTCGAAGAATGAATGAGAACATTTTGTACCGGGGTTTTCTCCTGGGCGATTTTGGTAACGGATGAGGTTTTGGTTATGAGGAATTGTCACTGTAGGGGCTACACTGAGCACAACCAGCTCCCTCCCTCAAGCAGCCTTCAAAACAAAACAAAGACAATCAATCCCCTTCAATTCCTTTTATTCAGATCGTATTGTTCTTGTTGGACTTCAACATAATACCGCATATTGCACTTACCGGAGAGCAGCACAAGAGAGAAAAAAAAGTACAATACTTCAGTTTATTCCCAAGGAAGAATAAGACATTGTGATAGTTGTTGCTCTTCCTAAATATATGAAACCAACCGGAAAATCTGAGTATATGTACACTAGATTTACTAAGTCCCTGAATATGCCATTTGAAATTTTACACAGACTTTTTTGCTTTTCTTATATTTTTTTACAGAGATATACAGTATGTCACACACAGTTTCAGCTTGAGAAAACTTTGCACAATTATAACCCAGCTATGAGGCTGTTGGGGTTTGTTTTGTTTTGTTTTGTTGTTGTTGGGTTTTTTTGGAAGGATCCCCCCAGATTTATGCCAATGATTATTCAGACAATTTTCTTCAGGATTGTCCCCCCATTCCCCAACCCCTCCACCTTGCCAGAATGCTGAAGGAAATACCAATTAAAAAGAAGTCTAGAAGAAGGAAGCCATTACATTATGACAAAGGTTAAACTGTATATATTGCATGTTGGTATAGAAACATAATGCAGTAACACTTTCATTCCTCCCTTTCGCTCTCTCTCACGTGCCCCTCCTTGCTCCTGGGGCTGGGCTGCGTGGGGGAACCTAACTGTACTCATAGTCCGACGAGTCCTCCTCGGACACCCCTGTCAGGTCTCTGCGGTAAGAGTCCATGCTGTTCTCCTCTGTCTCACCCGCTGGCCGGAGGCTTTTACTCATGCCTTTGTGTTCCTCCATTTTGATGGTGTCATAGAGTCCCTTAGGTCCTTCTTCAAGGAGGATGTTCCTCTCCGAGTGAGAAGGTTTCATTTGGCAGACATTTTTGAGGAAGAGGAGGAGAGGAGCATAAAGCACATTGGCAAGCCCCATGCCCAGGTTGAGCTGCACGAAGCCCATGGTGTGCACAATCTGGCCGGCCACAACGGGCCCCAGGGCATATGCCACACAGTAGGAGATGTCTGCGATGGCGTAGACACTGCCGTAGACAGACACATGGCGCACGTCCACCAGGAAGGCCAGGGTGGGCAGCAGGGCCGTGTCCACCAGGGCGATGCCGAAGCAGATGCCACAGAGGGGAATGATGACCTGCCCAAAATTCCTGCAGGCTGGCACGAGGCAGGAGCTGGCGCCGATGACGGCCATGCCCAGCGCCCCGTAAAACCACTGGAGGTGGGGATAAGCAGCGGCCAGCCGGACGGTGACGTAGACGCCCAGCACGTGGGGGAAGAAGGCAGGCAGCCAGGTGAGGCCCACCTCCCACTCGCTGGCCCCCATGGAATCCTTCATCCAGTTGGCAATGGTGGGCTCCAGGAAGGCCAGGGGGATGTTGCAGGTGGCCAGGGCCCCCGCCACCACGGCAATGTAGGGGTCGACCATGAGGCGGTGGATGGGGGTGCCGACGGGCATGTTGGCTCGTGCCCTGGTGGCCCAGGGCGGCGCCAGGGCCAGGAGC